TTTTATCTGTTTGGGAGAATTCTGCCAAAAAATCGGCTACAACATGACCATTAATCGCCTTTAGGGGTTTGTATGATAACGTAGAAGGGGCTAACTTAATTGCCCACTTTATTAATCTTCCCTGCATGTTAGGCCTCTGAAGAATTAATTTAATAATATCGAACTTGGCAATTACCTCAGTTTCTCTTGGCAGAAGATAATGCTCTCAGGTATAGTATAATTGAGTTTGGGCCCAACCAACGTCTTACTGAGGTAGAATATTGTTCTTTCCTTAACGTCATCCCAATCCTGTGCCAAAAAGCAACTCACCACGTCGTGTGTATTTGCCAGGTAAAGTTTGAGTGGCTGACCGAGTTTAGGTGGCACTAAAACTTGTAAGAGCTTGTTTGACTGCATCTAAGGCCTTTTGCTGCTCCTCCCCCCTTGACAAAATCGGACGTTGTATTGGCTTTCAAGAGCTTGATAACAGGCCTCATTTGGCCTACTACTTTAGCTATAAACCTTCTTAAATAATTTATTTTCCCAAGCATGCCCTGAACCTCTTTGACGGTCTCAGAGGGGCTGATAGCCAACACGGCCTTAATTCGGGATGAACCCGAAGGCGCACTTCATCAGGTTCATCCTGAGATTGTATCTTTTCATTCGGACGAACGCTCTATTGAGATCGGATAAGTGTGCTTCAAAATCGGTTGACTTGACGATGACGTCGTCGATATATACTTCCATGGAATTGCCTATCAGATCATGAAAAATGGTATTCATAGCCCTTTGATAGGTGGCCCCTGTATTTTTCAGACCGAACGACATCACAGTCCACTCGTAGATCCCAAGAGCTCCAGGGTATCTAAAGGTTATTTTGTAGATATCTTCTTCAGCCAAAAAGATCTTATTGTAACCTGCATATCCGTCCATCAGACTTAGAATATGATGACCTGCTACAGAATCTATAAGCATATCGGCCACTGGCATGACATACTCATCCTTAGGGGTGACCAGATTTAAATCTCTAAAATCGATGCAAATACTGATCTTTCCATTCTTCTTTGTCACTGGGACTATGTTAGCAGGCAACCATTCCATATATCTACAAGGTCAAATGAATCCGACCTTTAAGAGCTTTTCGATTTTTTCCTTAATTTGTGGCATCAACTCTGGTGAGACCAGTCGGGGAGCTTTCTGCAAGGCTTAAAATACGCCCTGATGGGGAGCCGATGTCCGATTAAGCGTCGGTCCAGCCCTGGCATCTCCGCATAATCCCAAGCCAAGCACTCGACGTACTTCCGGACTATATCCACAAGAATTCCCTCCTGAGTTCGAGACAAAAGCCTGCTGACACGAATGATTGAACGAGTCCGTGACCATAAATTGAAGTAATTTGATGGGCACATAATCATGGTAAATTGCTCCAACATATAAATTATGAAGATAGTATAGCATAATAGCCTACCATCGGATGAAGAGTCAAGTGCGCGCATACCTGGCAAATTGTACTTCTGCATGGGGCAATGAATTAATATTAGTGCAAATTACAAATGAGCGACCATGTAAGTAAGGCCAAGTTTCAAGATATATACATATAACTGCAAATGGATTTTTACATGGAATATACTTAAGCCTTGGACTCCCATAACACTGAGGACATCTTTAGGTGATAAAAAAAAACCTTAATGTTGTTATCTTATACATTTTTTATCCAGTACATGCATGTCTTATATCATCATATTCATATTTATTGAAATAGAGAGGTAGGCCAATTAAGTTATTGCATCCAAACTCATTTAATCTTCATATCATCCAAAGAAATAAGATGAACCATAAAATAAATGGAAAAATGCAAATCTATCATCATCAAATTAAAAGAGTTAGAACATCATAGTCACTTTAGTAATTTGATTCAATAATGTGGAATAAAAAAATGACATTGAGGATATTAACGCCCATTTCGACCTCATCATCGCAAGAGGGACCTAAAATATGGAAACATTTGAATTAGCCTACTGATCTGGATACCAAAACATAATTCAAGAAAATTTGCTATCAATTAATACCATTTTCAAAATATGGAACGTTAAAAATGCAAAGATGTGTAGGAAAGAACGAGAATTAGAAAACTTCAAAGTTCAAACAACTGAGAGGAAAAGCAGTTACTAATTTCAGAAAAGTCAATCTAAGTCCAAACAAAAAAAAAAAAAAATAGTCATACCCACCGGATCTATGCACTTTTCTCAGCCGCAAATCTCTGAAGAACACCAATTCACCGGTTGACAACGTAGAATGATCCTTGAGAAGCAACGGAAAGACCAGACCTAATTAGCTTAGAATGTGGTGTTCAAATGGCCACTGATTGGAGTTTCCTACATAAATAAAAAAACCATACATGAAGGTAGGTAAGTAAGTAGGTATGCTAGTGTATACTGCATCACTCTTTATAATCACAATTGTTGGAACTCTAACTCAAACAATCGTTAATCATCATCGTCATCTTCTTCATCATTTGAGGTCCATGTAATGGCAATCATAGACATAGCACGAATTTATTTAACAAGCACTTACTCTGAGGGGCAACACACCTTGGGTGGAGAGTGGCTGAAGAATGAGGTGCATTGGACGTCGGCCAACCTGAATGGATAGGAAGGTCAGGCATCGGCCAACCTAATGTCATTGGGCCATTCGTCATCTCAATTTGTCCTTCATCTTAGACCATAACATGTCATTATTGTGGCCAAGCAAATGATTTCAAAATAATTTTGGGTGGTTGTGCAACCAACTTAACCAAAATTATTTGTTTTTTAAAAAAAATAATTATTTTTTAAATTATAGTTTCTTTAGTTATTTTTTTTATTAGAAGAAAATATTCTCTACAAAATGATATGTATATTGATTTTTTTATAAGTTAATTGTAAAATTAAAATATATTGATATCCTAATACTAATACATAGGAAAATGTCACCCTTTGCCCACTTGAGAAGTAAGTATATATCCACTGATCATTTATCCAAAACCTCTCATTTTATTTATTTTAAATCTCTTCAAAAGAGATAAATTTGTAGATACAAAAAATGCATAGATAAAAATTTCAAACACATTATAACAATAAATTTTATCACATTACAAATTTCAAAGGAATAACATTAAGTAGACCATATAAACACTCTATAGACACGGAAGTCAGGTAAATACTTCATTTATTAAAAAGCTACTTATATCAACTTCTATTGATTTGCAAAGACTGGAGATGTAGCTCCAACCTAGTTGAAAAATATTTGGTGAATATGCTCGGAAAAACGAACAACATCGAGTTGCATGGTAAGGCAATTCAGTTATGGAGACATCAAGGAAAAGTAATTAAATAATAGTAGAGAGATCCAATAAATAAATAATTGAAAAAGTTAGAAATGAAGAAAACAAAAGAAAAAAAAAAACGTAATGAAAAGTTCAAGGAAACTATATATGTCATCCTTTGCTACTTTCTTCACAAACTCCAATTCCAGGGTAAGCAATGCAAGGCTGAAATTTTTAAGAGGGATAAACAAAAAAATGCAATAGGATGTTTCACTTAGGGTGTGTTCGTTTGGAGAATTTCTCCAAAATTCTACTATTCATTTAATTTTTTTCCCTAAAAAATATCAAATCAAACACTCATTTTTCATTTTTTATATTATACTAAAAATTAATTTTACATTCAAAATATCACATCGACACATATTTATATCACATCACACAATTATTACAATTCAAAATTTTTACTATTCAAATCTCTATTTAAAATCCAAATCCTCAAACAAACACACCCTAATAGTGCGGCCATAAGATATTCATTTTATAACAACTGTAAATCAAATCTAATATACCTACTAACAGGTATTGAGTTTCTAGTGGAGACTTTGGCACAACAGCGTTGGATGGCATTACGAGCAATTTGGCCAATATGTTTATCCACCACAAGTAAAAAAATAATAATAATACCTTGGACATGAAGATGTTCTCGGTATTCTTCTTGTTAGGCCTAGTCGTGGCTATCTCCGTCGGCGGCGTTTCAACCAGCAATTTGACAATACGTATAGTAGAGGATGGAAGATTCTAGAAAATGAGCAAGTCATGGCACTGACATTGGATTGGACTTCGGGCTCGGGATTTAGATCTAAACATTATTTTATATTAAAGACTTCCAAATCCTCAATAACGGGCCAAAAAAGGCATTTGTACAATCCTAACAATTCATCAAGGTAAATACCTCTTCCGAAACTTACACAACACCACTCATGAGAGGCAAATCGAAAATTCGTTTATATACTGGCGAAATATATATGGATACAATATTTTCTAAATGTATTAGTCATCATTGTCTTTCCTCCTATCCTCCTCAGTGGCGGTACTACATAGGGGCTAGGGGGGCACTTGGCCCCGCCCCTAAAATATAGGGATTTATTAGTGTTACAAATAATAAAATTATCAAACTGAATCATCTGTCACATTAACACATCCTATCCCTTATCCCCACACACATAGTGTGTATATACTATACATACACACATGAGTATGTATATATATTATGTGTGTGGGGATAAAAGAATATGATTTATTTTTGGGACAAAGCATCCCATGGGTAAAATTATGTAATTTTTATTATTTTGCCTCTCTTATTTTTAAATTTTCTTATTTTATAGTGTAAAAAATAATAGTAAATTTTTTGTAATTTTGTTGATTTATACTTTTAATTTTAATTTTTTTTAGTAGAAATTATTGAATTTTATTAAATTTTCTTTAATATTTTTCTAAAATTTTAATTTTTAGTTATTTTTTTCCCTTATTGTTTACGTGATTTCATATAGAGAAATGAAAAAAAAATTAAAGAACATAATATTAAAGAAAAAAAAAGTGAATTGATATTTCTTATTTCTTGTTTCATCCCATGGGATCGTCGGTCCCTAGCCATCCCAGCCCCTCCGTCCCACCTATTAAAAGAATGATGCATGGCACCGGCAGTAATTCTTTTCTCCTTTTCTTTTTAATTCTAAACTAAATTTCTTATTTTTTGCATTTTAGTCATCATCTTCTTTCTTTACCTCCAATCATTTTTTGCCCTTGCGTCATTGGCTTTCTTCTTTTGCCTCCAACCGCTGGTCTAGACCTCGGTGTGTACGATTTTTTTTTTTACAATTTTTTGCATGCTGGAAAATTTAACTTTCGTTTCATTAAATTTTGCTGGAATCAATTAATCTGTAAATTCCTAAAATTCTCCTTTATTTCTTTGTTTGCCCAGTTGAAATTTTGTTGTGTTTGAAGAGAGCTTTGATTCTGAGTACTTTATTTCATAGTTTCTATGCAGCCCCTTCCCCGTTGTTGCCCAGTCTCACCTCGTCGTTGGCCTCCTCTTCTTCCGCAGGTACATGGTTTATTATTTGGAGGGGATCAGTTGGGTATTGGTCTCTCAATAACTTTCAATCTAGAACTGTTATTTGGGGGAATTTTTAATTTCATTAAGGTTTTGTTGAATATAGTTAAGATTTTGTTGTTCTTTGCGCTCATTTTAATGGTGATGATTTATTATATTTTTGGGGTTTTCTCAATTTCTGTAGATTTTGTTGATTTAAGTTTCTACTTTTGTTCTTCTCAATGTTAAATTCTAAATTTGATGTCGTAAATAGTTTTGTTGACAATTGATGAAAAATAAATGGAATATTGCATCTATATGTATTCAGTGATATGGGACACCTCTAACTTACCTTGCATCCCAAAATTAGGATCCTTAAGCACGAGCCAGTCCAAAAACTTGTTTTGGGATCATTTACATGTATTTGTTTGCTTTGGCTAATAATTTGGCTTCATTTTTTTGGGTATTTTTCATTTTTTTGAATGATGACTGGTTGCTAATTGAAATGAAAACCATGTGCATTTGAGATTTTATTAGTCCAGCAACTACTTAGGGTTAACTTGAAATTTTATTAACTTATATTCATGTTGATGTCCTTCGTATTAGCATTGTGTTCGTGATAGTCTTCTTCTTCTTTCCTCATAATTAAATGAAGAGATTTTTTTAACATTTTCTTTATTGTGTTCCATTCTTTGGGTTGCTTAACTTTTTGGTGTCCTTTCATTGTGTTTGGGCAGATCTCTAAGATCCTTAATAAAGGAACAAGTGGCGAGTAGTAGTAGTAGTAAGTTAATTGATAGGACCAATAAATAAATTGAATGTATGGATGTGTTAATAGTTGTTAATTTTTGTTTAGTTAACAGGGGTATATACCCCCATCGATTGTGTGCGTGATGCCCCTGCTTCAACTCATGCTTCTATAGGTCGAAGATGAGGCAGCAGTAGTCCCTTCATCAAGCCCTCTAGGGGGACCATTACTGTTGAGGTTATTGTGCTATCTTCTAGGAGCATCGGGTGCATGAGAACATAGAGAGGCAAGCAGGATCACAGTGGCATCCCTATGGTCCCATTGTTCATGATTTGCAATTTTTAGGTTTGTTGTCAATTAGATGTATTGTTGTTGAAAATGGTAATTCAAAATGGATGGATTGACATCCTAACATAATAACTACTTACATTATACAATACATGTGGTATTATGGAATTGCATTAGCTGTTTATATTGTATAATTAACATTAAAGGGAAATTATAATTGCAATGTCATTACATCAAGAATTCATCAAAAACTGTTTTAATCTCATAGATATGCTACTCAGAATTGTTGAATGGGATACCAACATTTGGAAAATCCAAATACTTAATTATTCCTTGAAGAAAACGCTTGGAACCGTCGCTCAGCAACCGCCGTCAACCACCCAAAAGAAACGTTTTGAAACGTCGTCTGGTCAGTTACAGCAACCATCTCGCCAACTGCATAACCCAACCAACTAATCCAGCGACTAACTGGTCGCTAGACCAAAAGACTCCTTGGCCGCCCCTACTAAGCGACCAAACTACTGTTCACTTAAGTGGGCAATCAATTACCAAACCTTACTTCGCCTGACCTCCGTAGCAGCCGACTTTACTTGGTCCGACCACGGACCAACCGACTACAAACTATCCGACTGCAAACCATCCGACTTATTGATCCGACCTGCTGACTATCCGACCTGCGGACCTTCCGACCTACGTACCGTCCGACTCGCATACTATCCGACCTGCGGACCTTCCAACCTGCGAACCAACCGACCAGACCAATCGACCGAGGACCAACCGACCTGCCTATCCGACCGCAGATCTTCCGATCTGCCGACCTGAGCGCAAATTTTTTCCTTTTCCATCCGACTTCGTGTCTAGTTTCCTTTAAAATTCTGCTATCCTTATTTTTATTATTATTATTATTTTTTGTGCGTAACAATAACATTAAAAGAAAATAATATGAACACTTTTTTTTTCCTATAAAATAATATGCATTTTTTGTTATTTTGATTCCCAAATGACTTCGTGTAAATTTAAATAAAGATATATATATATATATATTAACATATTTTGTGAATGGAGAAAATAGATAAACTTTTCAAATTTGGCCAAAAATTCTCGTCGGTCAATAGTATAGGATATTCAAAATTACATATTTAATATTTCACAATTTTATACAACTCTACAGACCAAGACATACACGCGGCTATTCACAAACAATAAGGGTAAAAATGAAGATTAGATAGTCATTGTACAATAATATATAATATATATATATATATATATACACACCCAAGCCAAGAATGTAGTGACAAAATAAACATTCATGGAAACGCATGAAGCAGCAAAGGAAAGGAAAGCGACAGACAGTAAACTATTATTATTATTATTGTTATTACTATATCATCTTGGGAGCATACAGGAAAATCCTTCCTTCCTAGTTTGCAACTTTGGGAGAAAAACAATCACAAAAGGCGGCATGAAGCATCAAACATTACATTGCACTACATACAGAGATGCATGCTAATAAATTAGAGGCTCTTCTCTATAAAACAAATGAACTACTACTACTACTACTACAGTACAGTCCAGTCCAGTCCAGTCCAGTCCAGATTATAAGAATAGTTATTAATTATGTTGCTGGCTCAAGTTGAGGAATCTTTGTCTCCTAACCAAACCACAATTACAATTACAATTACAAATGGTCACAAACAGCAGCCATCAATCAATTATTTGCCAGCTTAGCTTCTCTTCTCTTCTCTTCTCTTCCAGGACAGGACAGGAATTTTACTACTTTGTATCTACTTTTGTCAATTTCCAATCCTCACTCACAATGTTCCATTGTTCCTACAAGTTAGACTTCTTCCTGCCTTTTTGGCTAAGCGAACCAGTTTCTGCCTCGCTGCCGCCTTGCACTTTGATTTGCATTGTCAGCCGCTTCACCAATAATTCTAAGGCTTCCTTCATCCACCAGTACTGACAAACTTTTCTTGCTTCTCTTACACTTACCTGTCCCAATTCACACATTCGCATCATTCATATACAACTCAACATATTTACTTACACAAGACCATCCCATCCCAAATCTAAACCTCAATTTAGCGCCCTTTGAAATACAAAACGACAATATGTTCAAATAACTACTACTACCAGTATTTGTTTTTTCTGGGGATTTTTTCCAACCCTTCATACTTCAGGAGGTTAGTAGCAAGCAGCAGCAGCAGCAGCAATCTACCGATAATAGAATTACAACATTGTAGAGTATTCTTACCCATATTCTCTGGCGGGAGTTTTTCTCAGGCCATAATTCAAGTTGTTCCTTCACGAGCAAGGGGAACATGTGGCTCTCACACCACATGTCATTGTTTTTGCCGCTGAAAGTCCAGTCACCCAACTTATGCTGCATTCAACATAGTAACAAGACAATACAATACAATGTAAGGCCGGGGAGGAGATTGAATAATGACTTTGGCAACTACCAAACACCCTCCACTTTTAAGGTTTTCCCATTTAGCATTCAGCACATCAAAATCATCAATAACCAGCCAAAAAATGCATCTGCACAGTACTAATAGTTCTTTGGCCCGGAACTGAACTTACACAACACCACTCATGAGAGGCAAATCAAACAGTTCGTATATATACTGCCGAGAACTACAGGAATACAGTATTTTCTAAATGTCTTAGTCATTGCCTTTCCTTCCCACCTCCTAAAGGGACTAATCCTTTAAGTTTCTTCAAAACTGTATTAAATAAATCAAAGTAACTCTTCAAAACAACAGGTAAGAGGGTTAGATTCAAACACTTATTTTAATTCTGCAAACATCAGCACTAGCAAGTGATCAAATCAATACAGAAAACACTGACCTCAACATCCCCTACTACCCCGGCTTCCTCCACTGTTTCACGGAGGGCAGCATCTTCCATGGATTCATCTTTTTCCCAACCACCCTAAGTAAAATGATCATAGGACTGTAAGTTTCTTGCGGAAATTAAAGAGACTAAACCATTCAGTCCAATCTTAAAATCAAATTTGTAGTTGACTATGAACTACCTTTGGAAACAACATCCCTTTTCCTTTTCTCTGTGACGTGATGACAAGGACTTCGATTTCATCCTCATCCGATATATGGGGCGTCCCATTGCCACACTTATATCTGTATGGAATACATCTGCGAAAACATGATAAATAAAGTCACAAAAGAAAATGCTCCATATTATATAAAAGCAACAAAATATCGCAAAATACTTTGTTATCTAGGAATAATTGAGGAGGTCTTGATTATTAAGCTTGTCTCACTTGGATCCAAATCACATACAATAAATACAAGCATGACAGATTAAACAATCATGTTGAGAGAGGGATAATGATGATAACAACATATACTAAAGAAATATATCTATGGATGATTGAAACTTGGTTGTCGCAACGACTCGGAAGCTTCGTGGAATTGCACTGCACCGTCATTTATCTAGTCAACATGGAAACCGACGTGGAAAAGCCCTTGAGCACACTTGCCTTGCCAATCATGTTCTGCTGTCGTACTAGTCTTACTCTACTCCCCACAAAATTCATTTTCTAATAAAAATTTTGAACAAGCAAAAACAATAACATGTTGATGAATATGCAAGAATTACAAATTCCCACAAAAATCTGTGTTCATCCTCTCCCCCATCGCCTCATAAATCTGGGCGGGGCGGGCGTGTGCGTATGTATGTTTATCAAAACAAATGTAGAATTTCAGGAGCAAACAAGCAAGCACTCCTTTCTTCCTCAATATCTGACCAAGTATACATGAAATCGACTCGAAAGCTCCGAATTACTAACAAAGAAAGAAAGAAAATTCGAGAATCGATCGTCCGTGCAAATGGCAAACCCATTGGAGACTTACTTACCCTACAACTTGACGGTGCCCCAGAAAATTGTAGCGCTGCATATGCCTTCCAGTGCGGGAAACGAGAGCAATCATATTCTTCAATTCCATGAATTTACCAAACAGCTAACCGATGATCACTCGCACACAATTACAAACACATGGGAGGCGAAGAGGTTTAGGTTCAAAAATAAAAAGAAGTTGCAGCAGAGCAGAGCAGATAAAGGTTAGCCTCCAAATTGTGAAGGAGGGATGGCTGGGCTATATATAAATACAACTGCAGACTTGCAGCAAATGAAGTTGAAGTGAGAGAGAGAGAGACAGACAGACAACAATGGCAGTTTTAAAGTCTCCTGGACCGGGACAGCCCCACAGGTTCTGAGGTACCCCACCTCAACCATCCCACCCCACCGTGAAGGTCGGGCCGGGCCTAGCAGGTCAGTGAGTCAGTGAGTTCATGAGAGAGAGGGTAACGAAACGTGTAGCTGACGCGTCAATTGTGGAGAGCATTTGCGTTGCGGCTGTGGATAATGATTGATGAGTAGTTAGGGACGGCAACAGGACGGGTTTGGGTCGGGTCTGATCATAAAATATATATGGACTCAGGATTTGGAACAGATCCGATTGGATCCGGAGCTAATTGAATCCGAATTTGATTCGAAATTATTTGATTGGATTCGACAAATCCGACTGGTTCGATAGTTTTAGAATTTTGAATATAAACAGAATTCGGATCTGGATTATCAGACCTGCCTAAATAATTATTTATTTATTTTAAAACAAATATAAAATAAATAACAACAAATAATGAACAACAACAACAATAATAATTCAATTAAAAAACAAATAATAATAAAATTAAATATTGCATATTATGATATATAATAACCAAACATGTAATCTTTTGTGCATTCATAGTAAAAAATCTAAACACATACACAAGTCATCAATCACAACATAAAATAATAACAATCTTCATTGTTTATCGTCATCTTCTTCTTCATGGTCAAATGCTATTGAGCATCCGGAAGTCAAATTGCCACCTAAAATAATAAATTAATAAATAATATAAGTCTTACAATATAATAAAATATAAATATATTAATTAAAAATATATTAAAATTAACTTACAATTTGCTTCATTCCATAACCAATGTCGAGCACATACTAATGCTTCCAAAGTAGAAGGATTAAGTCTACTACGCAGGGTTAATAATTCTTCCACTATTACTGAACGTAGATTCGGAAGCAAAAGTAGAAATCGGAATAGCCAAAATATCATTTCCCATCTTCTGTAAGTAAGGATACTTGACTCCATTCGTCTTCCACTAACCCAATATATCAAAATTTTGTGTCTTCGGTAAAAAGCTTTCTTCCAAATAAATATCCAACTTCGACATCATAGAAATCCTAGAAGAATCATTCATATTTGCCACAAATTGATCGTATTTCTTCAATGGATCTAGATCAAATGCATAAGTGGAAACAACATTGCGAGTCATCGCACCCCCCAAATCCAATATTTCAACATCAACCACCGAGCTCATATCCGTAGAAGACGTGGCTCTAGATTGGTAATCAATTAACAAATCTTAACAATTTTGACGAACTTGATTAACTTTGATCTCAGTTTCATCACCATATATCAAATTAAAATAAAATTCAACCAACTTCAATTTGTACCTAGGATCCAATACAATAGCAACCCCAACATGATATGGCAATCACTATAATATTTTTCATACGTTGTGTTGGCCCGACCAATAACAACACTTTACAAACATTTTTTTTCGTCATTTCTTGAACCAATACATTTGAACTCTTCACCTATTCATCTAATTTTGATTTTATCTCACATATATGAGCAAAATAAAAATTTGATGTAGGATAAAGAGTTCCAGAAAACAACTTTGTCACCTGATAGAAAATTTTCAACTTTCCACATATTTCAATTGCAATTTCCCAATCCTCATTACTTGGCTCGCTACTGTAATTTCTCTCTCGGCATTTAAGTCGTGGGAACACATCTTTATAAATAATAGTTGTTTCTAACATTAAATAAGTAGAGTTCCAACGAGTTTTGCAATCAAGAACTAACCTTCTAGAACAATTAATATGCAATTGACGAGCAACTTCTTCAAATTTCTCAATTCTAGAAGGTGAAGCATTCCAATAAATCACACTATCACGCACTTTTTCAATTGCACCACTAATTATTTCCAACCCATCTCTAACAATCAAATTTAAAATATGTGCAGAGCAACGCATATGAAGTACCTTTCCATCCATCAGCATATCTTTTGATGACATTTCCCCAAAATTTGTTGAATCATCGAATCATTAGTAGTACAATTATCAACCGTAATAGTTGATAATTTCCTATCAATATTCTAGTCCATCAAAGATAAAATGAGGACACTTGATAAGACTTCGGCGGTATGAAGAGCTGGTACATAAACAAACCTATGAAATAAAAAAATTGTTCGTAAGTTTCAATTATCTATACAAAAAAAATACAAAAATACCAAAATAAAAAATTATTTTTAAGTAAATATACCTCAAAATGACATTCTTCAAATTCCAAAAGTCATCAATATAATGTCTAGTAATTGACATAAATCCTTTCTTATTATTGCTTGATGTCCACATGTCCGTTGTGATAGCAATTCGACTATTAAACTTGTCAAATATCTCATAACACTTGCTTTTTTCAATCTCATAAATCTTAAAAATGTCACATTTCAAAGTGTTTCTTGTAATCATGTTAAAACATGGCTGAAGATTACCAACAAATCTTCGAAAACCAATATGATCGACCATTGTCAATGGATAATTATGCAAAATTACCATTATTGCAAGATCGTGCCTTGAATCTTCTTGATTAAATATACGGGTTTCAAGTGCTTGACCTCCACCAAGTTTTTTGCTTCCCATCATCATAACACTTTGTCGAATGTCCATTTTCCTTGGTCTTTTTTACAGACTTTTTAAAAATGTTTCTTCAAATTTGTCGTTTTATAACCACTCGGTGCTTTGAGACAGGCTTTGCAGTAGTTGCTTTCTGCATATATCATAGTATCAATCTTTTTCCTTTCAAAATGATCCCACCATTCCGATGTCCTTTTTCTTTTACAATCGGTAGAGTCATTAGTTTCCAAACTATCATTGTTAGTATTTTCTTCCAGAGTTTCTTGTGTATTCATATTTTCCTGAATACTGCTAACCGACGGAATAGAATTGTCAGCTCATTCGAAATCCATCTACAAAATAACAAAATAATGCACTTGAGAACTATGAATTATCAATTAAGTTTTAAAAAAAATTGCATAGGCAACAGATAAGACAACAGGCACCACAGAATTTGAATTCAAGAAACACTACATTTGAATCAATTTCTAATTTTATACCAAATAGATTAATAACATTATGAAATATCAAATTATCAATTTTGTTTTATTATCATTAAATGGTAAAATTGCTTATAACTCCCATGTTGTTTTAAAATTCAGCGTAAAATCTCCCTGTACTTTAAAAATTGCATGGTACCAACGAAAGAATAATAATAATAATAATAATAATAATAATAATAATAATAATAATAATAATAATAATAAATAAATAAATAAATAAATAAATAAATAAATAAAACACCATCATCTTGATTCAGTTTTGAATCGACCGACAAATAAAAAAAATTCAATCACCACCCTAGATTTCGAACTCAACCTGAACAAAATTTTCTTCTTAACAATCGTTGCTGCAATTTAGAACTCAAAATGAACAAAAAAAAAGTTATTTTTTCATTCATGTACTTTTAAGTTTTTTATACCAAAAACCCAACAAATAATAGAAATCAAAATCTCACACACCAAGTAAAATTACACAATAACTTACCCTTATACAAAAAAAAATAATGCTTAATGATGAAAAATTGAGTTGGAGAAAGGATTAGACGAAGAAGAGATAAGAAATCGACCAAGAACTTGCCGTGACAGTGTCTTGCCTGCGTGGGGAGGGGCTGTCGTGAGAATAAAAGAGGGGAGGGGGTTGCGTGAAAAAAAAAAGAGGGGAAGAGGCAGTGCTACTAGGTTTTATAAGGGAAAATACAATATAATTCAGTTTTTTTTTAATTAAATGGCTGGTCGGGTTCGGGTATTGGTTGGGTCTATGCTCGGACCCTGGACCCGACCCGACCCTTAATTTTTTTTTTTAATCCAGACCCAGACCCGACCCTGGACCCGAATATTTGGACCCGACCCCAAATAAATGGGTCGAATCCGGGTCGGGTCTCGGATCTACCCGGACCCATTGCCATCTCTATTAGTAGTAATTGTAATTATAACTAGAATCGTAATCGGAAAAAGATGTATTTTTTTTAGGAAAAAAAATGATTTTTTAAAAGCATTTTAGGAATTTTTTTTATATTTTTGTGTGATAAGAACATATTTTTATCTATATATTTTGTACGAAAGTAAATCTTTTATAATATTTTTAAAAATATAAAGAGGCTTGCAGGAAATTTAGGGTAAGTTTTGAAATTACATTGCAGTTACAGATAATTTTGCCTAATTGTAATTATGAGTTTGTACTTAATGACTAATGTATTTTGTGAATTTTGACGATGTTGTAGGCAAACGAGAAAGAAAACAAATAAAGAATATAGTGGTTCGGTGACAGTGTTTCAACTTATGTCAACGGACAAGAATCGGAAAGATTTTATTATACTGATTCAGAGAATTACAATCATTGTCATACGGATCCAATGCATTCTTTTCGATCTTCTACCCCCTTCCTGTCTTATTAGGAACCATAGTTGTTTATTTATAAGGACTTCAAAACACCCTAAACCCTAGGCCTATTTATAAGAGAAACCCTGTCAATTTAAACAGTCTTTTCGCTTTGATTCCAGGTCAGGTAGACCGCTAAATCCAAGTCACATTTCAAAAATTTCCATCTTGACTTAGAATTTCTCCAACCGCCAAAGGTTCCTCAATATTTCTTTCAGTCGTCTCCTTTCTACCAGATGCCCTGAGGGGACTTTACCTCCTGCGAATATTCACCAAGTTCAAGCAGTGCTCGAACTTCTCCGTTGGTAGCGCCTTTGTCAACATATCAGCTGGATTGTGTTATGTAGCTATTTTCTGAGTAGAGAACCTGTCTTCCTCTAGAACATCATAGATAAAATTCAATCTTACATCAATATGTTTGGTTCTTTCGCGATACACCAGATTTTTAGTCAAACTGCAAACACTCTGACTATCACAGGATAACACTGGTTTCTCCACCTTCAGACTCAAACTTTCCACCCGACCATGTAGCTAGATACCCTCCTTAATACCTTCAGTCATTGACATGTATTCTGCCTCAGTTGTCGACAATGCAACCGTAGGTTGTAAAGTAGACTTCCAACTTACTACACATCCAAACAGAGTGAAGATGAACCAAGTCAGTGATCTTCGTTTCGCCAAGTCACCCCCCGTAATCAGAGTCTGCATAGCCAACCAGGCCATCACCATGGCCTTTATCATCATATACCAGACAAATATTAGACACTCCTTTTAGATATCGCAAGATCCATTTTACGACTCCCCAGTGAGCGTTACCCAGAGTA